CTTCCCTGCTAAACAAGCAACCTTTTTTGGAATTATTTTTTTTAGCTTTACTCTTTATCAACTACAGTCTTTTAACTAAGAATTCACCTAAGCTTTTGCTGATATGACTTACCAGCTAATTCAAGCTGCCCATTTCAAGTTTAAGCTTTATCGTTTTTTCTGCCTAATAAGAAATCTGATAATATGCTATGCTTTATTTTGGTTTACTTGCAGTATTTTCTTGTATAGTCACACTGCATGGCATTGTGTGAATAAACCATAGCTTATTTATCCATTTTATGGTTGATGAGCATTTGGGTAGTGACATGAAATAGATGAAGTATTACGTAAGTATTCATATGTATGCAAACAATATCCCCACATAGCATTAACAAATTCTTTTTTTTTTTTTTTTTTGCTGTTGAAGGGTAATATACATAGAGAGACGTGTTATTTGATGATGTTTTACACACTGTGCACACATGTGCCACCAGTACCAAGCCCAGGAAGCAGAACATGACCAATTCCCAAAAGCCCTATTTTTGGACCCTCTCAGTCATTAGCTCTCTTAAGGGTAACCACCAGCCTAACATCCAATAGCACAAATGAGTTTTGCTTGTTTTTGTGCAAAACAAACTCTTGTATGTCTCACTTTTTTACTTGGCATCATATTTATGAGATTCATATATATTACTGCATTTAGCAGCAAATTGTTCATTCTTAGTGATGTATAGTGTTCTGTTATATATATCACCAATTATTTATCTACTTTACTGTCAATGAACATTCTGGTTGTTTTCCACTTTGAGGGTTATGATAAATAATGTTGCTCTGAGCTGTTTAATAGATATCTTTTGGTATATATTTGATATTGGTATATGTCTAGGAAACGAATTTCTGGGCCAAAGAATTTTCATGTGTAACTTTAGTAGACAGTCTTTGATCTCTTGAGGAAACATTCTGAAAGAGGCATCTCAGTCTAACCATTATGAGAACAACTTTTGGAGTCACTCACTCAGATCAAATTTAGCTTATGAAAGAATCATACCACTTTGTGCTTAAACTTAAGCTTCAGTTTACTTACCTGTGTAATAGGTATAATAAAATCTTTCCCAAAATATGAGAATTAAATGAAATATTTATTTTAATGCAAGTTAGAACAATGCCTGGCATATAGTAAGTGCTTAGGTTATTATATGGTGGTTATTAATCATTAGCTTTTACAACATAGACAATATAGAGAATCTGAAACAAATATGGGTAATATAATCCACAGTTTTAATTCTCTGATGGAAGAAAATTGAGACTCTGACCCAAAAGGCATTACCAATTCCAGGGAGTATTACACTTGGACCCTGAAAAAAAAAATCATTTAAACATTATCCCAAAATGCATTTGCAAATTACTCTTGCCAGAGGCAAGGTTCTTGGATGCAGTGCATTAACATCCATTTTTTTCCCTTACCAGACTTTACTCTTTAAAGATAAGACTGCCAAGGGCTACTCTGGAAAGTCACTAGTATTATACTTTTTATTATATTTGCCAATTTCACACTTTGCTCAACCCAACCCCCAAAGTTGTTGAAAAGTGACTGTAAGGACATTAGCTCCTAGTTTTCTTTGAAACTTACCAGTATTTATGTTCCACATTCTTAAAAATACTAAAAATAAGCCCAGATCCTTGCTTTAAACGACAGAGACCTTGCCCCCCCCCCCCCCTTTTTTTCTTTTCTAGGAATGTGCTTGATAACCTCAGGGTGGATTTCAGCAGCTGCTGTGACAATGTCTGAGAGTTACCACAGAAGTTTCACTGTGTACCAAGGTATTGTTTTAGTTAACGGCTTTAGGGGCAGCAGATTCAGTTATCTTAGGTAATTTTGGAAGGTGGCACCCTGTTCCTGATAAATTGCATCAGATCCCATTTATCAGTTACTAGTTTCAAGAAATTAAGCAGTCTGCTTGAAAGTCTGTCTTTTGATAAGGCCTGAAAGGGGAGTTTCTGAACATTTAATTGACCCTCTTTTGACTTACAAAACTAGTCATTCAACAGTCTTGCCTAAAGTCAATGGCTTGTTTCCTGCACAGACATCAAGCTAGAGTCTAATTCCTGGTTTAGTGGTTGCTCCCGTTTGCTCTTGCTTCTTGGTGGCCACCATCCCCCTATCCTGTCCTGTCCCACTCTCTACCTCAATTTCAAAGAAGCCCATACCTGGGGACTTTGGAACAAGTTGTGGGGACTGAACAAGTTGTGCCTTAAGGGAATGACCATTGTCATTTGAATTAAATTATCTTAAGGTCAAGGTGAGTGAGGTTTTTCTGCTAGAGCATTCAGATCCAAGAAGGAAGACCTTGTCTATTTTCTGGACCACTGTATTCTCAGCACCCGCGCCTGGTACATGACAGACCTTGATCAGTGTTAAATGAAGAAACGAATCAGTAAATCTTGTGTACCTCAGGTTGCCATGTCCTTTGTCTTTTCCACCTCTTTCCAGTTGTACTAATAAAAAAAGTGCATATTTAGATTCTAAAGAGGAGAAATCATGAACAAAGCGTCCGGTACGGTGCCTGATTCATTGAGGGCAATTAAAAAACATCGGATCGTGGACTTCCCTGGTAGCTCAGCTGGGAAAGAATCTGCCTACAGTGCAAAAAACATCGGATCATTTTCCTTTTCTTCCTTCCCAAGTGGAGGGTACTGGGCGTAGGGGGTGATATGCCACGGTGTTTATGTTCCTGGGCATAAAGTGACGTGGGTAACTAACAAGCTGGGGAGAAAGGACTGTCGACGTCTTTCTGATCCGTATCAGAAATTCCAGTGCCCCGAAAAACGTACAGCTATTTTACCTAGAGAGGTTAGTCGCATTTGTTGATTGATTCTGGGCTGCAGACAACTCTTAATACAAGTTTTTATAACCATCAGTTAACTTCGCGGCAGGATGAAGTGCAGTGACAGGAAAAGTAGGGACCCCTCTCCCTCCTCCACAAATGAAGGAACTCCTCTGTGGCAGGGGCTGCGTTTTGCGTGTCTAACGGGTCCTCGGTCAGGGGCGGTCCCCACCCCTCCAGCCCCGCCTCCGCGCCCTCGGAGGCGGCAGTCGAGGTTCAAGTTCGGTCCCTGGACGCTCGCTCCCCGCTCCGAAGCAGCTCTCGCGTCTCTAGGCTCCCCCGCCCCCAACCCCGCAGGCTAGGAGGGCTCAGAGGTCATTCGGGTGCTGGGTCACTCGGCCACTCGCTGTGCTACCACGTGGGAGAAAAGTTTCCAACTCTGCGGTGGGGCCTCCCCCCCGTGCCCCACAGCAGAGCAGAGGTCCGCACTTCGGCAACCCGCTCGCTTTTTTATCGCTTGCAGTCGCAACCCTCCATCTGGGGGACTCCTCCCGCCGCCCCCCACCCCCCCGCCCCGGCCCATAACCCTTCTCTGAAACCCCTCCTTCCCTTGCTGCTCAAGTCGCCCTAGGAAAACACCCTGGGAGCCTCTAGAGAAGGCGGTCCGAGCGCCCTCCGCGGGCCTGGGGTAAGGGGTCCAAGGACAAGTGTCCCGAGGAGCACGGGGTGGGGGGTGCGGAGCTGGGCGCGCGGGGTAGACTGATGACAGCGGCCCGCACGGCGTCCCCAGGGCGACTGGCGGGAACATTCCGCGGCTCCCACATCCTCGCGCGCCTACTCTGGCGGGTCTCAGTAAACCCCAAGCTAACTGCCCCCTCCACGCCCCCAAGCCGCCCTCACGCCCCGCTCCCGGCTCGCCTCCGCCCCCAGTGCGCAGGCCCGGCCGCCCCAGCGCGCATGCCCTGGGCTCGCGAGCGCGGCCAGCCCCCAGCCGTGTGCTTTCTACACACTCTACAACTGGGGAGGGGGCGGGGGCGGAGGGTAGCGAGGCAGGCGGGCGGAGGATGGGGCCGTGCCCGGGCTCCCGCTGCAGCCGCCCGGGGACACGCCGTGCACCCTCCGGCTCGGGGCTCTCGCGGCGGCATCTGTGGCAGCGTTAGCGGCGGCGGCGAGAGCGGCGTTCCCGGCGCTTCCTGGCCGCGCTTCTCCCTTCAGGCTGGGCGAAGAGAGGAGGCAGCGGCGGCGGCGGCACACCGGCGTCTCTCCCGCTGGAGATTTCTTTCTGCTTTCCTCGTCGACTGACTGACTGGCCCCCTCCCTTTTTTTGAGGAAGGGTGACCTCTTCTTTGGGACTGGAAAAAATATTTTTTTGAGGTGGGGGGAGGTGGGTGGCAGCATCAGGGACTGCTTCTTCTCTTCTTTCATCTCCCTTTCCTTCCCCCTCCGAGCCCGAAAAGCAAACCCCACAACTGCTCCGGCATCCTCCTTCCCTTCCTCCACCGCTTCCAGTTGCGCCCTCTCCCCTCCTAATTATTTCATTATTATGCTCCCCTCTCTGGGGGGTCTCGTCCCTGTCGGGTCGCTCAGAAGCCTTGGCCTCCCCTGGATGCATTTCTTAAAAATTTTGGAACCAGGGAGTGAGTTTTCTCTGAGGCGTGTGTGAGAGGCGGCGGGGGTGTTTTCCTGCGCGAGGGGCGGGTGAAGTTCATTGCCCCCACTTTTCCCGCGACCTTTTTCGGACCGGATTTGGAGTCGCGGGGGGCGGGCAGGCGTTTTCGGGGGGCGGGGGGCGCGGCGGAGAATGGCCGCGGGGAGGGCTCCCCGGAGCCTCCCAGTCTCTTGATCAAAGCATTCCGCTATTCTGATTTATTGCCTGCTTGGTGAGTTATTTTTTTTTTTTCCCCTCTAAAGGAGACCTGTGTGTTCAGCCATTACTTTGCTCGGCGCTGCTCACAGGAATCTCCGACCCTCGGTGCTGTGGGCAGCCCCGCACTTGGGCTCCTCGCCTCTCGCCCTCGCTCCGGTCCCTCCTCCCTCTCTCCGCCCCTTCCCCCTTTTCTTTCTCCTCTCTTTCTTCCCCTTTCTCCCTTCTTTCGGCCGCCGTCTCCCCCGCGCCCTCCTCGGGGCGGAGGGAAGCCGAGAAGGGGGAGGGAGAGGTTGGTGTCAATTTTTTTGTGCGGCCGCGGCCGGAGCCTGTGGCGGGCAGGCGGCGAGCGGGGAGACCCCGGCGCGGCAGAGCCATGGATGGCCCGACGCGGGGCCATGGACTCCGCAAAAAGCGGCGGTCGCGGTCACAGCGAGACCGAGAGAGGCGCTCCCGGGGCGGGCTGGGGGCCGGCGCGGCCGGCGGCGGCGGGGCCAGCCGGACCCGGGCGCCCTCGCTCGCCTCGTCGTCGGGCTCCGACAAGGAAGACAATGGGAAGCCCCCGTCCTCCGCCCCGTCCCGGCCCAGACCCCCGCGGAGGAAGCGGAGAGAGTCCACCTCGGCCGAAGAGGACATCATTGATGGATTTGCCATGACCAGCTTTGTCACTTTTGAAGCGCTGGAGGTAAGGGGGACCCCCTTCCCCCCCGGTTTCCCTTTATAGGCACGACCCCCTCCCTCCTCGGCTGTGCTGGGCTCTGCTGCCTCCCCCCGCCGCGCTCCGGTCGGTCTGGCTGGCTGTCTGTCTAGGCTGAGGTCTTATTGTTGGGGGGTGGGGGGAGCTGGGGGCGCGGGTAGACAGGCGGCAGGAGGGAATCGCCAAGCCGTGCCTGGTCTCCTGGTCTCCTCGTTCTAGCTCGCCTTCCCCCTGCGCCCCCTCCCCGCACCCCCTCCACAGCAGATGGGCAGAAAGAAAGGGGTTCAGGCATCACAACAATGCGCCCCCCTCCACGGAGAGCTCAGCCCCTACTCCTTCCTCCTCTCCCTCCCCAATCATGGCTTCTTGGCTGGTGGAAGTCTCTTTGCTGGGTTTGGGGCGCCTGTGGACGGTTCTCCGTGTGCTTTCTACAGAGCCATATGTCCCTGTGTGTGTGTCTGTGTAGTAGAGACCTTTCCTGGGTGTCCTCGGGACCGGAGACTGACGGGGTTTTGTGGTTCTTTGCCCCCTTCCTCTACCCCTCTTTTTTTCTTTTCATTTCTTTTTTCTTTCTTTCCCTTTTTCTTTTCTTTTTTTGGTGAAGCTGGGGAAGGGGGCGTTTTCTCCTGGTTGGGAGAAAGGAGGGAGGAGGGGAGGGAGGAGAGGAAAGGATGGAATATCTTTCAGTATTCCGTTCGGGGCTCTATTCCGGAAAGGGTTAACTGTAATATTCTCTATACACATAACATGCACATGTGTGTGTATATGAACAATTCGGTTAAAAGACAGAAAAAGGTACACCAGGGAGGACGGGTGGGAGGAAAGAATAAAATCCTAGCTGGTATCTGAAGGGCTTGTCACCCAATTGTCCCTCTCCTTTTCCTTTTTTTGTGTTTTCTTTTCTTTTTCTTTCTGATTGGCTTTGTGTGTGTGTATATATCTATGTGTGTCTTTCTTTATTCCGTGGGCACCTGCACCGCTGATTTCCAAATGCACATTATCCTGCCAGCTAAAGGGCTCCTTGGGGGTGTTGGTGGGGGGGCAAGTAGAGGGAGATTGTCTGGGGGTCAGAGGGAAACTCTCTTCACCTGGACGGATCTGGTTTGGTGCTGGCATGGGTCACTGGCCTGTATAAATGTAACCCCCTTTTCTCCTCCCCCACCTTCCTCTCCCCACCCCCAACACACCACAGACACACACACAGGCGCTTGGAGATTCTGCAGAGTTGGTCCGGCTTTCTTAAGCACACAACCAAGATAGGAGTTGGTTTCTAGGCTTTCCTGCACCTGATGTGATGGTGTGAGGTTCCTGAAAGAAACTTTTCCCTTTCCCTTTGGTTTTTGCTGTTATTATGGCATTGTTTGCAGTGCTCAAATGCAAGCTTTGTTGATGACAGCTTAAATCTCACATGCAGTAACTGTGCAGGTTTAGATTGCCGTGTGTGTGTGTTTGGGTGTCAAGTTTAAATATTTTTAAAAAGGAAGCCTTCCTATTAGGGTTATTCTTTTCTCCTTTGAACTGCTTTTTGGTTGGGCTCCTGGTGGTTATGGTGGTGGATGGTGGCCAGTGGTTGGGGAGGAATGGAGAGTGGTGGTGTTGGTGGCCATAGATTTTGATGTTAGTGATTGAATCAGTTATTCTCTGGTACTTTATTGGCTAAAATGGATCTTACATAGTTCTTTTGAGTGTTGAGGCTCACCACTTATTAGGATAATTCTAACTGTGGCTTCAACTTTGCCAATGTGGGAGGATACTGTACAGTGTGACCTCTTTCTCTCTGTCTCTCTCTTGCTTTAAAATAGAAATTGAAATGGTAGTATGTATTCTAGTATGTGAATTAGAAAATGCTGCCTAAAATTTGGTTGTTATCAGTGGTTGGTTTAGGACCGTGTTTGTAAGAGCTGCTTACAAGTGGTTTTGCTTCCAGCATGGTTATCCTGGGCTCTTTGTGGCCCCTCACAGTAAGTAAGCAAGAGGGGCCTGCAGATTTCCACAAACCTGTTTGAAGGTCAAGCAGAGATAAATATAACACATGCAGTTATTTTTGGTGGTTTTACTTTTAATAAATACTTGACGGGCTTGTGTATCTGTCCATTTGGCTTTTGGGAGAAAATGTGCCCATTCTAGTTTCTTTTGGGTGTAAAAAACTTTTTAATTTTTAAAGAAGACCAAGTTTGACTTGTACCATTAATACCATTCCTTGCTGTGATTCTTTTTCTGCTATTTTTCTAGATTCAAAACTCAGGTTTCTTTGGTTAGCTGAATATTATAATACCTTTATATCTGAATATCATTTGCATATCTCTGGTTATAAAGGTCTAACTTTTAAAAAAGTTTCTTTAAACTTTCTAGAAAAATGTAAACATATACAAAAATACAGTATAATAAGCCCCATGGTGCACAACCACCTAGGTTCAACAGTTGTCTTTCTAAGTGGCAGTGACTCAGAGGAAAGAAAAAACACAACCCACCCAAACCCATAGTATTATCACACCTAAGTGAATTAACAACAGTTCCCTAATATCAAATACCTTCACATGCATTTACGTTTAGGAGTCCCAATTTTTGTAGGAAAACTGCAGATACACTTTTCAGGTTAAAAAAAAAAGTGGGGAATAAAAATCATGTAGGTCTGGTCCTGTGGGACAACATCGATCTCTTTGCGGCTTACCACATTTGTGTCCATGCTTCATAGTCAGGCATATGTGTGTGGTGATCATTAAAATCTCTTGTGTCCTGTTGTCCTCAGTTTGGAAGATTTACTGAATTATCACTAAGAAATGTGAGGGTTTGTTAGGAAACAGGCAACTAAACTATGAACTTGGACAGGAATATATAATACAAGAGTGCTTGTAAATGTTAAGAATTATATATGATAAGAATTATCCTAAATACATACTATGTTTTTGTGTCTAGAAATGAAATCAGTTGTCACCACGCATCATCAGAGTTGCTGCTAGTATGATGTTGTGATAAGAAACCAGAAATATTGGCTTGCACAGCTAGGCTTTTAAACTTAGGCTTGATTCAGAGCAGTAGCTAGCAAACTGTGGAGTGTATACTTTTGGTGTTAATGGACGCGTCGTTTGACTCCATGGTTTGGTTTTTGTCTTGAGTGACTGATTTTGACTTCCCTTTAAAAAAAAGAGGCTCCTAACTCATAGTGAAATGTCCTAATAAAATTGTTCCAGACTAATGGTTTTATTCATAATACTGGAGGAAAAATAAGAAACTTGTCTAATGAGAACCATAATTTTTATGTGGATTTATTTTTCACTCTTGTTGGATTCTTATTTAAAATGATGAAAGCTTTGGACAGAGTTTGAGAAGTCCCACACTTTATACAGTGAAACTGGCAGAGGTAGTTTCGTATTCTGCAGGGACACTTGTCTTGAGTAATTGTGCCCTGAAGTTCAAGTATGTGATTGTGAAGAGTCTTGTGATAGAAGATAAGAGGGTAAGTGAGGAGGCTAAAGTTGAACATGGTGTTCTTTTCATTATGCATTTGAGCAGCAGTATTATCATTTGGTATGGTACTATTTACTTGAATATTCTTTGAATGAGAGTGACTATCCCCAGATATCAAGCCTCATTAAAAAGCGGTTTTCAGCAAACAAAGTATAAATGGGAATGTTGGGATCTAGTACTGCCAGTGTACTCTGATGTGCCAGATAATATTGCCTTTCTGTTATTTGCATTTTCTTTTTCTGTGTAATCTTGATTAGGAAGCCATGTGAGCACTATGACTGAAAACCTGCAAATCCATTTTTTCCCCCTTCACTTGGCTGTTGTGCCCTGGTTTCTTAGAGCAACCTCCTTATATACAACTGACCAAGGGAAGCAGAGATGAAATGGGAGGGGTTAGCAGACAGGAGGCCAGTTGGAGCTTTGCAGGCTTGTGAAAAATGAAGGAAGACTCATTTCTGGTGGATGGAGAATCAAACCAAGGCTTTCATGGGATCTTCTTTTCTTTGTGTTTCAGGGCTTACCCACACATTGGTAGTGTAAGTAGACTGTACAGAATTTGATGTACTTATAGCATATCAGGCTCTGATAATTTACTGTGGTCAAATCTCACTTATTCAGTTTAAAAAATATTAACCATGTTTCTTGTATCAGTCAGCAAATATTTATGGAGTGTGTGATATGTGCAAGGTACTAGAAGGGGGGAAGTCTATATATATATAATAATATATTAAATATATATAGTATCCTTGAAGGAGTGTGCAGTTCAGTTGGTAAATCAAGTCTAGCACTTACAGTTTCGAAACAGGCACTCAAATGCCTCATTCCAAGTAAGTGCAGTAAGCTTTCAGAGAAGGAATAGTGAGATAGGCTGAAGTGTTTGAGAAGGCTTCCTGGAGAATATATGGGTCCTCATATGTTAAAATAATTTGGATATACAGAGAGAGAGTAGGGATTGGGAAGGGGATTCTGAGAAGAGGGGATGGTGAACAAGGCATAGAAACAAGATGAGTGACTAGGTTTTGAGGGGCAAGAAGGGACTGTAGAAATGAGAACAAAATGGTGTAAGTAAAGAGTGCTTGTGTAAAGACCCACCTTCCAGGCCAGGCTGTCCTAACTACTTGAGTGACATTGGGAAGCTACTCTCTAAAGGAATCCTTTTCTATTTCTACAAGTTGAGAGGTTTAGAGTAGTTTTAAAGCAAAGATACCCAAGTTAGAAGGAAATATAGTTCTCCAGATGTTCATAGGTTGTGGTCCAGACCAAGAAATGCGATTCTTCGCTCAGTTAATTTTGGAACTTGATGGGCCAGGCAGAATTAAATGGGTAACTTGTTCTGCAAGGATTAGAAATCTTTTGTAATGTGTATGTAAATTTTGAATGTTAGAGAAAGAGATGTGATGTGTCTTATTTCCTAATATTTGACCACAGGGAACTTTCATTCTTGTCATTGTAGTTCCTAATCCATAATCCAGTATGGGAATTGCTGGGAAAGATCTCAAAGGTCCCTTCCAGATCTTGGA